TACCGGTAATTTCAGACAAAAGATAGGGAATAGCTTTGTAATATTTCCCTAGCTTTAATTTTTTCAATGTCTTTCGTAGACTTTGCGGCGAGGGCTCTTCCAAATTGTCCACGATCTCCCGCGTGTCTAAATATACCGGATGTAAACCTTGGATATGACTCATCCAGTCTCGGAAGTATTTCAACCTCTTATATGGCGTTTTCTTACGACCTCCATTGGCGTAATACTGTTCTTTGGTAACATTTGGCACCGCGTTACGAATATTCTTACCACACTCGTAACACTGTGCTGACGTGTCCTCCTCTATCTGCATTTTTTTACCACAACACCAAAAAGATTCTGGCTTCGGTATGACAACTTTAGGTCTTAGACAAATTATGCAAAAGTCATTGGTGAACTTCTTACATTCATGCATCGTATATCCGACAAATATTTTACCYTCCATTTGCGACCCCAACAGAGCAGCAGTTAGGCAACAAGTCGCGCTGCAGGCTGATCACGCAAGACCCCCTGTAGGGCGGATTACCGACCTCCAAAACCCCACCCCCCCATGGCATTTTTCGACTTGTTAATTTTGGCGATGCAGGCAGTTCGCGAGTCCGCCTAACTGCTGCTATATATAATCCTGATAAACATATCTCTTATTTGTTTTAAAAGGTTTAGGAGATTACGAAGCATTTGTATGGATTCTAAGATTTGTGCCTGCTTTTCTTGGAAGTCTTATAGCACCTTGTATTTATGAGGTATGCCAATCACCTTTATTTACTACATAAGACATCATAATTCAAAACGGTTTGTTTGATAGCATTAATTTAAGGCTTACAAATTGTTTGTATGAAAAACAGGTATTTTTATTTATTATGAATGTATATATGTTCTCTCTCTTACTTCTTAGATAATTTTGGAGCTTGGATGTACTCACTGGGCAGCATCTTTTGGAGCATTCCTTGTTATTTTTGGTAAAACTTTTTTTACATAATTACTTGAGATTGTTCTAATACATTAAGATTTTAGTTATTTCATACTTTTCAAACTGTTTCGCGTTAAAAAAAAAAATAATTTACCTAGTCACATGCAGTCCAAACAAGGTTCCTGTGTATGGTTTATAAGGAAGTTATGATGAAGATATGACAATAAACTGGAATTTCTCAGTCAACGTTTTGCTTTAAAACTTGCTTCAGTCGTTGCTTGTACCTTGTTCAGTCTTCAGGTGAAGTTTCACTGCAGTTTGAGGCCATTCAATGTTTTTTTTTCAAGATTAGCTCTTCTCTACCTAAATTTTGGCTTGAGACTTTCAAATATCAACCAAGTCATGCTAGGGAATCCCAAAAAATCTCACTCTCTCCCCTTAAACTCTTGTTTACGATTACGATGGTTAATTAATATTTCTAGTTCGTCTCGTCTGGAATTACAGTAATCAACGAGATAGAGCATTTCTCTATCATGTGATCTGTAGCTCCGCCCTTTCATGATCACTTGGCAACATAGTGACATTGATTGACACCTGGTACAAGCTAATTGATCGGACTGTAGACTGAACCCTTTTAGCAGATGCTCGCGAAGGTCTCTTGGATTAGACCCTGAAGACCTCTGGGTACTATTGCACAATTTTTCCATTTTGTAGTGCTGGAATCAGTCAGGAAAAAAAGAAAACAAAGGTATTTTATGACTGGTTTACCACAGGTTACCCGGTAATTATTCTTTTGATATGGTGCGTTTTGAATGACGTTCGAGGGGAGAGATTGAGATTTTTTTGGATTTCCTAGTGTGATGTTGTCGATATTGGGTGCTCCAGCCTCCCATTATTTAAGTAGAGAAGAGCAGATTTAAAAAAAACACTTATCAGCCTAAAATTGTGCTTTAACGTTGCCACCTGTGCTTTCCCAGGTACAAGCAACTACTGAAGCAAGTTTTAAAACAAATATAATGGTYGACATTTAATTTTCATATCTTCATCATAACTCCCATACATTCCATTATATGCCTGCCTGTCATCTAGTACTTACTGTACTTTAAATGCAAAACAAGGAATTTGGGTTTTTAGTTACCCTAATGAAATTCAAAAAATTGCTTGTTAGTAGTAAGTTGTGCTTAGGTTTATACTCCATTTTATTTGGAATGTAGAATAGGAATGTGTTATAGACCTGAGATTTCTTATGACAGCCAAGCTCACTTTTGTATGATTGTCCCAGCCTTTTTTATTGATGGGTTCCAAACTTTCCACATGTATGTGATCAAAATGAAGCCAAAATGTCGGCAAGCTAAAGACTAAACGTGGAATCTTTGGAATTTATCAAAGAATGTGGATGGGGAAATAATATGAAAGTGGGCGTGGCTGTCATAAAAAAAACTCAGGGCTATTCCATAAATCGGGGATTTTCGTAGTAGTGTAATATTATTTGAAGCTTATGATGAATGAATGTAACAACCATATATAGTTTGAATACATAACTTATTTTCTTCGTAGTAAATCTCATCTAAAATATCAATGACAAAATTGTTTTATTAATATCACAATAAAAATAAATAATGTATTCAAACTATGTTTTAAATATATGTTTTTTCTTTTAATATAGATAATATGCTGATTGTACAGACAAGGTTCATGTTCTTAGATGCTTATTTACTCTTCTTCAGTGTGTCTTCATTGATGTGTTACCTCAAGTTTAAAAATAAAAATAAAAGGTAGTAGCATTAGATTTGTATTTCAGGTTCATCTAGCTCTTACCTAAAACCCTGCCCTCTGAGTTTTTGTTGAAACAAGTATTTATAGTTTCCGTGTAGCAAAAATTAATAATGTACAGCACACACTGCTTGCATTTTAATAACTTTTGGTCTGTCTTTTCAAGCTGTGCCTTTACATTTTCTTGGTGGTTATGGCTGATCTTGCTGGGTGTGTCACTCACAGGAGCTTGCAGGTAAGCACATATTATTTATTCCTGTATCATAATTTATCCAGAAAGGAGGGTACCCTACAACTACGGCATACACCCACTACACACGTCATATACCCACATAAAGTTGTTGCGTCTTTTGCTAGGTACAGCAGAAGTACTTGGTGAGAACTTAAATACTTTAAGTAAATAAGTCCCTGTGTTGTGGTCGGGTTTAGAGTAGGCAGGTTCGGCAATGATAGAGAGGTATTGTCCGTTGATCGTCTGTCTTTTTTTTTTGTTTGTTTTTGTTTGTTAGTTGTTGTTGTTGTTGTTGTTCATATGTTTGTCTGTTTGTTTGATTTTTGTCTTTGTTTTTGTTTTGTCTTGCTTGTTTTGTTTTGTTTTGTTTTTTGATGCGGCCGGCCTGTCTGTCCACAATAGCATTTCCCACTATCATATTTGATAAGATAAATCCTTCAATCCGCTGTAGTGTGGCTAGAGAGTCTTTCTAAGGTCCAAATTGTGACAGAATTTGTGTGTAGAGTCTTTACGAATATGTCATTCTTGCGTAAGAGAAATATTAGCGATGCGCTTTGGTGGTTGAGACTCAAGTTTATACACATCTAGTAAGACAGTTATTTATTTATTTATTACAACTGTGAGGAACGAATTAATGAATTAATGATTTTCTAAGGTATAAATTTTATTAGGAGTTTGAAATTGCATGTGGAGAGAGGTCTTTGTGTGATGGCCAAAGTAGTTGAAAACTTTCGAGTTGGCCGCCACCTGAGATGAGGGAGAAAAGAGGAGTTTTTGTCAATGAGGCCATGTGACGAAAATGTCGTCTGTATATCTGAGCCAGCATGTTGGTTAGTTACACACTACCTTAGGGCCTGTATGTTTATCATCATTCTAAAGTAGACTATCTGACTAGCATAGCCGAAACGTCAGGTCATGTTTCTAATTACGCGCGCTTTCCGAAAGGATATAATATTTATTCATATTTAATATTAACTGCATTTGCTATTTTTAGTTCAAAGTATTGTGCTGTGCTGACCTTGCTCACTCTAGGAATTGTGATGTGCCTTGATTTTTGGAGAATGATTGGTGACAAAGCGATTTCAAATGTAAGACGATATTTGTTAAAAAGTYATGTATAATTGTTTCAAATTAACTTTATTTGATAATTGCCATACTTTCTCACACATACCTATGTGAACATACTGAATAGTCTTTCGTAGTCATTGACCTTTATGCTTAACCATCGTTGACAATAGATTAAACATTATTAGTTATGATCAGTCGATTATTTGTTTGAGAGTATCTTATCCATGCAATCAAAAATCGAGAACTTATACTGAGGACATTTCATGTGGACAAACTTTTAAGGCATTTTTATAATACTGAACTTTGTTTTGTTGTTGGTTGATTTCAGAAAGACTTGACAAGCCATTTTGCAGCTAGGGTATTCTGCCTTGGTGTTATTCCCGTGCTCCTGTATCTACTTCAATTTTATATTTTATTCGCTGTGTTATACAAAACTGGTCCACACGATGACATGATGTCAAGTCCATTTCAAGCCAGCCTTGAGGTATTTGTAATGCAGAAATGTATAGAGCTAACAGGAAAAGTTTGCAAGCACTAGTTAAGCAAGCACTGAATTCTTAAGGTATCAGGATACGTTTTAAATCTGATTCGCGGAATCCGAAAATTTGCGCACGCTTAACAAGGTTTGTCTATAAAGGTATACTTTTTTTCCTGAAACTTAGCCCCCATCCACACGTATCCGGAAATTTTCGTATCCACAATTTTTTTTTTTTGCGGATACGAAAATGTTTGCGTCCACACGCAGCGTATTCGAATCGTATTCGAATCGTTTTCGAATCGTTTTCACTGTCCACACGTATCCGGAAATTTCTTGATTCGCCCTGATGCACGCTAGTGCCTAGTCCCTTTGACGGATAGTTTTCTTATTGAGCATGCGCAAAGTCGTGTTTACGTCATCGTATTCGAAAATTTCCGGATACGACCGTCCACACGTATCCGTATTCGGAGCGTATTCGAAAATTTCCACTCTGGAGACCGTTTTCCAAAATTTCCGGATACAGATACAAAAATTTCCGGACACGTGTGGACGCAACCCCTATCTGCAAAAAAGAAATTGCACCGGATCACGTGCAAAATGCTGCAGCAAGACTCGTTACACCGGCACTTAAATAGACTTCATTGGCTTCCAATTCGGTCGAGTATTCATTTGAAGCTTTTACACTTTTAACGTTTAAAGCAATTAATGGAATATGTCCATCCTATCTTAGATACTTAATTAGTGTTAATCTAAATTCTCATGATCTTAGATCTAATGGTCGTCTTTTTTCTGGAGCCACCTAAAACGGAATACGGAGTCAGATCTTTTTTTGCGGCGGTTCTGTCATGATAGCATAGTTACCTGTCCAATTACGTGAARTCCAATCACTCACTGTCTTCAAACAGCAGTTGAAGACTTTCCTTTTTCGGTCAGATTTTTCATGTGAAACATTTTTGGGCAGGAGTTATCTTAAGGTGGCTGACTTCTTTGGTAAATGATAAACAGAAAATTGAAACTCTTTTAACCTGAAATTTAATGCTGATTTTAAAAATGCAGAGAAAAATGAAGCTTGTTTTTGAGATAATCACTCCGGAATGACATGCGTTTGTACAATTTCCAAAGACAAATAGCGAAAATCAACCTCTGTACAAAAAAATCATAAAACCGAAACTAAGGAAGAAACATGAGTAATTTTCTCCGAACACGTAACTTACACTATATTTATAAGATACTGATAAAAGTTGTCTTGATAAACTATTGTAGACAATGGAAAAAGTTTTTTTGTTCAGGTTATGCGGTGTACCAGTTGTCGTAAAAATTGAGCACAACACAAACAGAACGATTTCTTACATTGTTCTGATAAACAGAATTGTCTGCTTTGAAAAATAATGGGATATTACCTGTTACTCTAGAAAATAACGAAAAAATATAGGGTCCCGCGCAAAATTTGAGGTTTTGCCCTCTTGAAGTTCAAAACGTGTATGGTTCTTCAATGAAATCGTGCAAATTATTCAGCGGTTTTTGAGCGCGCGCACCTCGTGGGCTCAAATCGCATGTTGAAAAGTAATTGGCCACCTTAATTATTATCATTAGTATTAGGATAAACAAAACTGTTGTAAAGGGCTGCTGATCAGCATATGTAAATAACGCTTCATTTAAAAGTAATTAAATTATTATTACGGCTTGTTATTTCTATAACTTTATTCGGTGTATAAAGCTCCAGTGGCGTTATATCACAGAACAGAACATAGCTAAGCCTGCTATTCGTTAATTTTAACATAATTGATGTAAATTCCACAACCTTCCTCCCGTTGAAAAATTTATCTCTCATCATCAAATAAATACTTTTCAGGGTGGTCTTGCCAAGATTACTCATGGACAAGCACGAGGTAAAAAATGCATGAAAAGGAGAAACTTTTATTGCCGGATGAAAAACTTTTTTTTTAAACCATACAACTGAAATGCTTTCTGGATATTTATTGTAATTATGAATGAATAAATGAGTGAGTGAGTGAGTGTGTGAGTGAGTGAGTGGGTGGGTGGGTGAGTGAGTGAGTGTGTGAGTGAGTGAGTGAGTGAGTGAGTGGGTGAGTGAGTGAGTGAGTGTGTGAGTGAGTGAGTGGGTGGGTGAGTGAGTGGGTGAGTGAGTGGGTGAGTGAGTGAATGAGTGAGTGAGAGAATGAATGAATGAATGAATTTATTTTATGATCAAAGAAACTCTGAGAGTATGTAATACTGAAGTGTTGCTAACTTTAGCTTGCTGCCTGCTAGCACATATGTAGCTTGTTCATGGGCATACACGTATGCGTGGGGTTTTGGCTTTAGATATCTTTAATAGGGATCCATAGATGTAAAGAGGACTAAGTGAAGTGCGCGACCTCTTTCCAGAACAGCAGTCTCTTACCGGTTTACATATTGTAACCTTTCCTTTTACTCTTTACAGAAATAGCTTATGGTTCTCAAATCACGTTAAGACACACAGGTCGTCAGTGTTGGTTACATTCACATGCCCATAACTACCCTATCAAATATCCAGACGGGCGTGGTAGTTCCCACCAGCAACAGGTCACGTGCTATAGCTTTAAAGATGTTAACAATTGGTGGATCGTTAAGGATCCTAAAAGGTGAGATATAATATAATCCAAGTACATTTAGTAGTATGACACCTTATAGAGCGTTTTCACATGACATCACAGCGGTCATGTTGGTGTACCAAAACAATACATTTTCTATCCTCGTGGGATGGACCCTTTATTTTTATGCAAATACTGAGCAGAAAGTTGATATTGTTTGCCTTTTCACGTGAGTGGAAAACACTCTATTGGTGGAGGGGTGGCCAATCAGAACTGAACGGGTCCAAAGTTCGATCATCGAGACAGGTTTATAGCATAAAAAATTCATTCTGAAGTAAACACCTTTACTCTGACGTGAATTTCAAAGGTGGAAGAAAGACTTTTACAATAACTATATTGGAATTTTATATTTTGTTATGTTAAAATACTTCACTGCGGTTTTCGATATTCTGCAACTCGGCAGTAAGAGGTGAACTGCGAATTTTTTTTTATTTTTTATTTTTTTGCTGCCGCTCATAGACTCATGCGCTGCTCATAAAGGCCACAGACTGCTCTTCAATTGCTCACAGACAGCTCATAGACACATGCAGTTCTTCTAAAGGCTA